TCTGTCTTAAATTCGTATTATTTTACTTTCCCTGAAATACCCATAGTGCATTTTCCTGCATTATTTAAAAATAATAAAATGTCTGCACACTGGTGCTGATAAATCAGTGATGGACCATAATAAGCCCATCAGTATGTCCACTGAATTCTATTATAAACACAAGTGAATACTCATTACCACATTTATGGCTGTTCTGACTGTATCCAAGGCCACATTTTTTGCCACACACACACAATCCCGACACAGACACGCACACATTTTTTATACCTTTTTTTCCTATGTTTGTATTGTTCAAACCCATGGATACAGAGATGTTCAGACCAAGGTCAGCCTTGGCTATAGTCAACTAGTTATCTAATTAGTAACAAATTTACTCCTCATTAAAGTGTCAGAATGTCCATATACACAGACGTACATGCTTAATCCCTCAGATGTAATAGGTTGTTTCATTTTCACGGACTTCATCAATGTTTAAGGAAATGTTTTAAACTAAAATAAAGTTAAATCCTCAGAGCTTTGAGAGAGGTGAGTGAGTGAACATGGATTTCTTATCACAGAAATAGTTCAACAGAAGTAGAGACATAGATGAGGAGGTAAATACCACTTTTGTATATCTTTGGTGATGATTTTGTGAAATGACAGTCAAGAAGAGCTAAGACTGAAAAAAAATGCAGCTTGCCCGTCGAAAGGTAATTTGTATCTATCTGGTTGTGGTTTAAAATTTCTGTTAGTGTGCATTTGAAAAAACAAATCTCTTAAACATCAAAGTAAATTCTTAGCTTCAGAAGTGCTCTTTAAGTGATCTATTTACTTTCAAACAAAGCAAAGCTACATATATTCAGTTTCAGGCAACATCAGACATCAACAGCTAATCATTGGAGATGCATAACACAGACACAAACACACACAGAACGCACACACATGCATACACATATATAAACCACAGTTTTGATACATGTGGAATTTCCAGCAGACAGCAACAGCAGTTAGAGGGAGCATGAGAAAATAAAGAAGTGTCAGGGACTGAGTGGTCCCAGTGGTGATAGGAGCATTAGGAGCTGTAACCCAGAAACTTGAACAGTGTCTCCAGCAGATCCCAGGGGCAACATCATCGGTCTCTGTCCAGAAGAGCATAATCCTAGGAACAGGTTAGAGCGCACCGAAACCTCAAACACTCAGGCCAAATAAAGTAGACACTTTTTTTTTTATCTTAAAATGATTATTTTACTTGTCTTTTTTTTAGGTTTTACTGTTTTTATTTTAAAATCAGAATTTATATCCACCACAAACGTATATTTAAAACTTGAATGCAAACAGAAACTGGAAGCTGAATTCAAAAACAGATCAAGAAATCCACCTGCTTGAATTCACTCACTATTTCCTTTTGATATTGTACAGGGTTTGAATACTATAACATTTCACAGGAAAACAAAGACCAGACAAAACAATGGCGTCTCTAATCTGTGATTTGATACATATACTGGTTACAAAAATGGAAAGAAAGAGAAAAAAACACTTGTTAAAAATATGGAGTCATTAAATGCAACATTTTCTAAACACGATTATTATGCAAACCCACAAAAGATGAAACATTCTGAGGTATTGAACGCAATAAATATACAACACCTTAAATGATACACATGTTGCACAACATGCAGATGTTTATTTAAAGCTTGGATTCCAAACACCTGAGGCTGCTGTTGTCGCTGGGGGGCGGGGCTTCAGCAGGAAGCGGAGCAACAGCAGGAAGAAGCACACACTGACCACACTCAGGATGACCACACCTGAGATCAGAGCACTGGTCACTGGGTTCATGGAATGAGAAAGATCTCCAGAGGCTGGAAGATGGAAAGGGAAAGAAACTGAAAACAAGCTCTCGGATGAGGTTTTTACCACGAGCTGAGCCCGAGTCTTTCCCTTGCAGGAACAGAAGAGGGTTTGCTGTAAACAGTCATTTCAAAGGGAATCTGCTGTCATGATAGTTTACAACACTTTTATGTTTCACAACATTGCGTAATGGCACTTACCGAGCTGGGAGTTGTTGACAGGAGTTTCATCTGTAAAGCAATTTTTAAAGCACTTATTGGATTCATTTTTACTTCAGCGGTCTTAATTGAAATCAGCTTTAAATTAGCAGTTTGACATTTCAGGCTGTTGCTTCTTATTTTGACTGGATTGCTGCACTCTCAGCAGGAAAGCAAAGCAGCATGTCTCTCAAAACTATTCAAGTAAAAGTGGGTTTATAGTTCATACCACTCCTGGTGATGATTGGACCGGCAGAGAGGATGGCGTTCCCTGATGCTGCTGCCATGGAATCAGGGGTCTCCTCTTCATCCCTTTTGCGCCGCCGCCCACAGATCTGCCAATCACATCGTCAGATTTCAGTCCTCAGTGAGGTGAGGAAACAGGTGGTGAGTCACAAACGGAGATTTTCACTCTTACAGGCATTAACATGATGCAGTCATCGGCCCGGCAAAGCTTGGTGACGCAGTGCAAAAACACAGTCGACATCTTCTGGTGCCTGTGTTTAACAAAACGGAAAACCTCAAAGGAAAAACGGCCCATCTGGCTCTTCCCGTTCTCCAAAACTGTCGTCTGGGGATCTTTATAGCAACTGTATGGAAGCAGACCCGGCAGAAATGCTAGATTTAATGTCTGTGAGTACCCTTAAGAACTCTTTAGGAAGAGAAAACGTGGCATTCAATGAGGATAAGCCGTGTGGAGAACCTGAATAGGTAATGACTCCCTTTTGTGGTTTATCGAGTCATTATCTTGAAGCAGAAAAAAAACGCAAGATTTACCCAAAGAAAAGGTCATAGCGGAGTTCATCATTAGGATTCCCTGAGGGGGTTGTGTAACAGTAATCCATCAAAATGTTCCACCTGCAAAGAGACAAAACTGTGAGATGGGATGGAGGATAGAGATCTAACTGCACATGAGAAAACTGCAGCCTGGCGCCTTCATGAAGAATAATAACATAATAGCATAATGAATGTAGGCAAAGCAAAGAAAAGAGGAGTAAATCAGTAAAAATGATAGTGGGAAAGATGCTGTGGAGAACTATATTTAAAATATCCTTTCTGCTGCAGTAATAGGTTTGTTATGGTAAAGAGTCTTGCACATCTATGACGTGAAAATTGTGGAAATTCAATAGTGAATAGCTGGGTTTTGTGCGGTACCGTTTGTCTAGGTTTGTGGCTTTCACAGCAGCAAATACTCTGGTTTTCAGAGCCAGTCCAGCCATGGGGATAGAGAGAGGCTGATTGTATGCTGAATCCTGGAGAAAAAAGAAAAAAAAAGTTGATTATTCACTCAAAACATGGCATAAAGCAAATGAAGACAATGAATCAGTCTTTACATAGCTGGTGTTATTCTATAGTTTTGCTATTTTTCTGCTGTCCAGAGCAATTTTTGCACATGTCTGTAGCCAAACAAGCATATGTGACATTAATTGTTAAAGAAGGAGCACAATTATATGCAACACAGTGATTATGTTGTTTAAAGTAAGTACAGAGTATTCTAAGTAGTGTGATTTTTAACAGGATTACATAGCAAACCTTTTGTGGAATATTGTTGTTGGTGGAAAAATACATGGGCTATTACAGAAAACCAACTTTTGTTGTTTTCATGGAGTTAGTTGGAAACAGTGAAAATACTCAGCACTGATAATTAAAATACATTAAAAGATGTTATATGAACATCGAACTGAGGCACTAAAAACAAACCAAACATGCTCATCCAGTCATGTGCCAGTTCTAATGTCTATTTTGTTTCATATAAATTCCTCTGCACCTCTCAAGCTAGAAATGGAAATATATTTTTATTCCAGCGCTGCTTTGTACTCACGTTGTACAGGATCATACTGAGCGTGCTCACAAAAGTACCGTTGCTGTCTTTGACAGACACAGCTGCAGAGGATCTGTGGAGAGATGGAGCCTTTGTGAGCCTTGGCTTAATAAATAACATTTCGGGAGCAGAGGTTTCGAGTTAGTACAGTTATAAATCAGCTGCGCTTTTATTTATATACTTGTCTGATTTACGAAGGTCAGAGAATAATATATGTGAATAATAGATGTGAATAATAAAATTAATGGTTTGAAAAAATACTGCGAGGCACAAAGTCACTGAAGCTTTTAAACTGGGAATTTAATTGTTAGCACAGTTTTTGAAAGCTATAAGTGAATCTAATTAAATGAATATATCTTAAAGCCAGCCTTTCAGAATTAACTCTGCAAAGCAACTCCTGCAAAGGTGCAGCTCTCTTTTGGACACTGATGGATGCTTTGGCAGAAACTCACGATGCCAGCTGTGAGTTATTGACCAGGTACTCCAGCGGGTAGCTGCAACTGAATTTATACAACAAACCAGGCAGATAGCTGATTATAGTTGGTGGGTCAGGGGTGTCGATGTAGCCTGATATATTCCCAATTTGTACAAGAGACATGTTCCCATAGGCAGTGGGCCCGTAGGCTGTGCTGACCTGCAGAGAGAAACATCGGCCAGTCACTTTGCTCCAAAGTCAATACACAACATGATGAAGTTGATTATTGATTAAAATAAAGCCATGCGCAGTGCTCGAGTATTCTTTACCACCAGACTGTTGCCGCAGGCCTCCAAAGTGCTGAGGCTGATGCTGAACAGAAGTGCTGTGGGGAAAGTGTTGTTGTTGATGAAGCCGCGACACTGGGCTTCGCTGTGATGGCCGTTGAGGGCCAAATCGGCGTCGGTGTAGCCGGAGAAGAGAACAGGACAGAAGTTGATCTTCAAAGTGATGGTCTGAACCCCGCAGTACACGCTGATGTCCCTTTCACCTGGAGGAAGGCGGGAGACGGAGGTTCAGAGAGAAAAGTTGGCAATGTAACTGTAATAATTGAAATCCAGATAAAAATCAAGACTTGCGGCATCATGCTGGTTCATGCAAGGCAGAAGTTACACATTTTTTTAATTAAGACTTTTATTCACTTTTGTACAGGAATTTTCACACAAGTATGAAATTACTAACCGAGCTCTGTGGAGGCAAAATCAATCAGTAAATCAATCTAGTGTAATTTTGTAGATCATAGCAGGAGATTGCCTCAAAATGTCTGTATCCAGGAAATGTTTGTCATAATAGGGCCATAAACATTGTAATTAACATATTCGATGCATTAAATTATTTATGTGGTTTACATGTTTTTTTAACTATAAAAGAAGCTTACAGCTTAGATAGATAGAAAGGTATTTTGATGATCTATCTAAGTATAAAGATATAACTTTATTGTCCTCAATATTAACTCTCAATAAGGAAATAAAATTTATTAGAAACGCCATCAGTAAAAAAGCATCAACCTACCAGAACTATTTGTGCTCATTTTAATGTGGCTGCTAATTTTGCTGCTCAAAGATCTACCGTGTTCCACACCTGTTAGCAGACGTGTGTGGACGGCAAAGAGAGAACCTGCTGGGGAGGATTCTCACCTGGAAACCTGCTGTGGTAGTTGGTATCGCAGTTGTATCCATTAAACTGTGTGGAGACTGACGCGGCGTTACTCAGGAGCAGGAAGATAAAACCCATTCGTGTCATTTCCGCGCCTAAGAGAGGTTTGTCCGCTGTCATCTTCAGAAGGTCACCACTGCATTAGCCACATTCCTCAGGTACGTGTTAAAAAACAGCACTTATCTCAAAATTAGATGTTCAAAAACAATGCCTCTTGTTTCCTGACTGCTCCAAGGTTTGACCTCTATCAAAGTAGTTCAGCCTTCTTTCCCCACGTCCCCTAATCCTTCTTGTCCTGCTCCCCCTGCACCCTTTTACCTCAGTTGCTCATGTTGGCCTAATGCCTCCATTACCCAACCCCTTTTAAACTGAGGTCACCCCTCTTTGCGGCTCATTTCATCCCACCCCCACAACCCCACAACCCCCCCTCCGTCCACCCCCACATCTATTATTTTTCCACACCTGTTTACCTGTCTCCTGCCTTTTCCAAAGTAATTGGCTGGAACCCCTCTTCACCTGGTTAGCGATGAGAGAAAAGTTCAACTCTGTGGCATGCAGCTCTGGTGGCACCGAGTACCTAAACTAAACACAGCGTCAGCCTCACATGTATCTCTTGTGTGTGCACAGATGAGAAAGATACCTCGACAAAAACCAGCTGCGGTGCAGAATATGGGAAACTCCATCAGATCTGAATGGACTGGACAAATCTATTCACCATGCCAAGAAACCTGAGCGTACTCAGAGGGTTTCCACTCATCTCTCCACAGTCTGATCTCTGTCTGTCAGATCACACAAACGGCGAGCCTCAGCAGGGGGGGGGCCCAGCTCAGGAATTAAGCTGTCATCGGCTCCTGCTGCGGCCCACATTCACATCAACATAAAAGTCAACTCACGGTCTGATGCAGGGCTGTGTGTGGGTAATTGTGATGCACAAGACATCACTTAGAGTAAAGGCATTCAGTGGTGTACACAGCTACGGCACAGTGCTTTCAGCATTGCAGAAGGAAAAAGTGGACTCTAGCGTGTGCTTTTATGCCGTGTTTCTCTGCCTCGAGATAACCTGCTCACCTTGGTTTTTACTGCAGTCCATCTAACAAAACATTATTATGTTGCACTTGTAGCATAACACACAAAAAACTTCTTCTTCTGAAGTTCCTTGACCTTTTAAAATGATCTACTCATATTTAAAGAGGTGTAAGAGAGTGTTGCTGGAGTCTTCTGTGTTGCTGCTGAGCTCAGTCCAAGCCTGTGGAAAGCATGAATTTATACAAATGAGTCACAAATATGGAAAAACAACTTAAAATATGAGCAAGTATAATTTTTCACGACAGCTGTAACTACAGCATTTTTTAGGAAATATTTTGATTATTGGATTTGGTGTTTAGTGGGTATTGGCAGCAGATCTGCCCATTTTCACCGTGATCGAGGAACATTTCTCTCTGTGCAAATATGTGGCTCGCTTTGTAATAATGTGTTTGTGGATATAAATGAAGTAACTCAATAAGCTTTACAATATGTGCCATATTTTTCAGCATGCTCGGTTTTGATGCATTCATGGAATTGGCTAATAGGAAAGTTGGTATATTGGATTATTGGCAGACTGCAAAATACCTGCGAACAAAGCACAGAGAAGAAATTGCTTAAAAATCAATCCAATTTGTGACTCATTTGTCAGACAATCAATGTAAGTCTGGTTTGCTGTAGTTTATGAACAAAGTGACAACAATTTTCTATTTTTCATTCTTATTATTTCTTTTCCATCTGCGTCTTTCCTGTAGAGGAAAAAAGCACCAAATATCTCAAAGCAAATAGTTTTATAGCTTTTTAGATGAGCAGAAATAAACTTTTCTGTTCCCTGCTGTCCTCATTCCTTTCTCTGAGTAATGACAAACAAACAAATGTGGAATTAAAGCACTTTCTGTGGTGTCTAAAGGGCCTTAAAACAGTCACATGCTTAAGATTGCTGAAAGTTGCTTATAAAATTCATGCTCGTGCAGTTCCCTGAAACAGAAATGTTCTAAATAGGATATTACTTTACCTGGAGTCTCAGAAACACTTTGAAAAATATTTTGGATACAAATTCTTGGAAGCATATTAGTCACAAGCTTTTCAATGGGTAAAGCAATCATTTCAATACCCTCTTTTCATGCTAACAACTTTACAAGTAAAGCTTTAAATCTCTGAATACGTCATTTTTAATTAGAAAAACATTTTCATGCAGCACAGGTTGCAGCACATGGCTGATCTTAGAAGGTAAAGCAGGTCATCCACCAGTTTACCCGGTCTGCATGTCAAAGTGTTCTTGCCTTCAAGTTGCCCACAGAGTGTGCATGATAGTTAGAAAGTGCTTGAAGGCATAAGGTAAAGTGCAGCATGAATGTGGCCTGTGGTAAAAAATAAAAAATAAAAAATAAAAAAAAAGTACTTTGAGTGCTCTGAGTAGAAAAACGCTATAGAAATTTGAAATTATTTACCATTAGTGGCCTGAGTCCTGAGTGGGGATATCTGGGATGTCCTGGCATCACAAGTGGAAAGGGACGTTGTGTTGATGGCCAACCCTGTGGTAACATAGATCATTTCAATGCTACTCCAGGGATGATTTTATTGTTTTGTATAAATAAAGAGAACTGTGTGATTGACCTGTGGTCATATCACCTTGTGTTCAATTCCCGGCCAAGCAAACCAATGCATGCAATCACTGCATGTCAGCCCCGCTCTCGCTTCTCAGATCTCCCCTCTCTGCCCACTGTCCACAACTCTGAAAGTCTCTGACTGTTCTCTGGCTCTGGCAGTATTTTTAATTGTAGTTTTTACATTTTTAGTTTTAAGAGCCTTTAAATAAATCCTTGACTACTACAAACTGAGTTTCACAAAAAAAAAAAAAAAAAAAAGATTATGTGGAAAAATAAATATTTTTTCCAGGTATTATTTTTAATTTGTACCAATCTAATGATCTGGGTAAAGTTATAATAGACTACATTTAATAAGACATATGCATACACAGTCATGGTAAAGTAAATCATGAAAGTAAATCCTCTTTGACTTAAGTAAATACAAACTGAGAGCAACATGACATATTACTCTGTGCAACTAGTTCTTTAATAACAGTAAGAATGAGAATAACTTTATTGATCCCAGAGGGAAATTCATATGTCTCATATCTCATAATAAAAACAAAATTAAGATGCATTGTGTGAATAACTAAATACATCCCTATAATCCAATAGCTTGTAGAAGCAGCAATAACTTTCAATGATATTTTTTTTTTCTTCTGTTTGACTTTATCAGTCTCTCACATCAATGCAGAGGAATTTTGGCCCACTCTTCTTTACAACATGACTTCAGTTCACTGAGGTTTGCAAAACCTTGATTCTTTTCTTTTTCAGCAATTCTTTGTGTAGATTTGCTGCTGTGCTTGGGATCATTGGCCTTTTGCATGACCCATTTTCAGCCAAGGTTTAGCTGTCACACAGATGGCCTCACATTTGACACTAGAATACTTGGTATACAAAGGTGTTCATTGTCGACTCAATCGCTGCACGATTCCCAGGTTCTGTAGCTTCAAAACACGCCTAAATCACCCCTACACCATCGTGCCTGATCTGCTGTTTGGCTCTCACTAAACGTGGTTCGATACACTATATCCAAACATCTCCACTTGTGTTTCTTGTCTGTCCATTGTTCCAGAAGTCTTGTGGTTTCTTCAGCTATAGCTTTGCAAATCCAAGCTCTACTGCCATGCTTTTTTTTAGAAACCCTTCCAAACGAACCACACTTGTTCAGTCTTTTTTGAATTGCACTGTCATGAACTTTAACATTTAAGATTGCCAACTGTAGAGTCTGACATGTAGCTCTTTCTTGCAGTTTCTTTGAGCATTGTACGGTCTGACCTTGGGGTCAGTTTGCTGGCATGTTCACTGCTGTCAAGATTGGCAACAGTCTTCAGTGTTTTCCGATTGTGAATAATCTTTCTCACTTGTAGAATGATGGACTTTAAATAGTTTGGTAATGACCTTATAACCACTCCTTGATTGATCGCTGCTGTAAGATCACAGCTGATGTCTTTCCTCCTTGGCATTTTGCTAGCCCACACCTGAATGCTCCAGACCAACAAACCAAAACTTCTGCTTTTATAGAGGTGCTCAGATTCACTGGTGAGCAATTAATCAGTTGCATTTAATTACCAGCACCTGGCACCCTTTTAATTCATATGGAAACAGTAAGTGTGTCCTCAGTTTTTTACCCCCTGCTTTGGCATTTTGTTTCAGTTTTTATTAAACAAACAATGACACGTTGTAATATGTCATATTTTGTAGTTCATCGGGTGTTGTAGTTACCTATTTTTACACCTGCTTAGGACCAGAGTGATTTGCTGTACTGTCCTGACACAAATAAAGAGTATACTTTTTTTTACTGACTGTATATCAAAGCATTAGATTTATTCATTCAATCTTTTTTTGCATGAGCTCATTGAAACATTATATGCTTTGATTGTTATTCCCTTCCTGCCCCTAATATTGTTACTTTCGTCTAACACATGTAATGTATGTCACCTGGTTCAGGCACATCCTGCTCTGTGGTTTTATGTGTCAGATCCAGACTCTCAGCCCTACACAGCTTGCTGCATGTGTTTGCTATCCCCCCTGCCTTTCTGATACGGTAGTGCTGAAATACAAAATGAAGTCTGAGCAAAACAAGATCAGATGCCCACGCATCCTGCTTTTTTTTTGTTTTGTTACAAATCTCACCCAGCAGATGACCTATTTAGCCAGTACACTGTGCGCTCAGTACAATTCTTTCTTAAAGATGCAAGAGTAAACTAAATATATCTCACCAGTGTGTGGAAATACATGGTTGCTGGTTTTCTTCAAATCTGGCATCAAAATCACTCTTTGTTAAACATCAATGAACTTTCTGATCCTTGCCATAAAACCACGATTTTCTGTGCAGCCCTCATGAGCTTTGCGAATGATTTCTTCAGGTCACCATGTCCAGAAACTTTTAATGGCTCGGGACCACCTGCCAAACTTAGATCTGCCTGATAGAGCCGCGTCTATCTGATCAGCCTGAAACACCCAGACTCAACAAACAGACATCTAAATCACACAATCTGGGCTGAAGCACAAAACCTGTGAGAGTGCGGCTGTAATCTGATGCTCCAGTTTTAACGCAGGCAGGAAAGTGAAGCCTTCATCAAAGGCCCTGCTGCGATTTGATCCTCGGTGAGTAATGTTTGCCAAAGCCAGAAAAAATCTTTATTTTTTGACAACAGCAGATGGACAGGTTCATAATGCATGATTAAAAACGTGACTTATAGTACAGATGAAAAAAAGAAAGAAAGAAACTAGCCAATGATTATTTATAACTCTCTGCTAATACAGATGATTAAGAGCTTGTCTGTGGAAGTCATCTCGCTGACGGCAAGTTTTTATGTGAGGATATGTTTACAGAGGCTTTTGTCCGTTTCCTTTGTTTGGCTGAAAATGGGAAAAGTCCCCAGTGGGGTGGGATAACTCCAGGATGAATTATTGTTTACATATGAATCTCAACCCCATATTTAGAGAACAATACGTG